AAAAAAAAAAAAAAAAAAAAAAAAAAAAAGAGCTGGGGATATAGCTTGGTCCAAAAGCCCTCACTCTCACACACACAGAGAAATATGTAGGTAGCTAGACAGATATTTCTATTGCACAGGGCTGAGCAGGAGAGTCTAGCTAGAATTCTTAAACTCTTTAATTTAAAAATAAATAAATAATATTAGAATGACGAGTAACAGCATGAATATATAAAGGTCTCCTTCTAATTAGAAGGGTATCAATAGGAAAGACCTCAGAGGCAACTGTAGAGGCCAAGGGAAGGGACAGCAATACTACACTAGTATAGTTGCAAGCTGTACCACTATATGTGCTTCTTTTTAATGCATTAAATAACAAGAGCTTATCATACAGCTGAAGGAGAATTAAGACCTCATAGTTGTTGCAAAAACCCTGTCTCCAACTATCAGTTACACTTATCATCACCTCAAATTATTAGATTTCAGACAATGCCAACGTTGCTCTCCCTGTCAGGGAAGGAAATGCTAGCTTTCATATGGTGAAAGTAAAGATGGAATTTTCTTCCTACTAAATTCATTCATTTTCTCAGGTCCTAACACCTGGAATTAGAAGGCTGGGTATGGTGGTGCACGTGCTAGTATAATCTCTGCGCGCTGCATGGCGAAGGTAGGCCGATTGCAAGTTGGAGTCCAGCTTGGGCAATTCAGTATCTTGCCGAGACCCTGAATCAACAACAATATTTTTTAAATGGATAGGGCTGTAGCTCGATGTGAAGTTTCTGGGTTCAATCCCCAGACTACAAAATAACAATTTAAAAATAAAATTTCCGAATTAGAAACACACGGTAGCTGTCTTCTGTTGAGGAGCCCAACCAGCCACAGACGTTCACTGAGATCGCCAAGGCACGCTGGCCTTTAGAAGCTGGGTTTCCTGACCCCAGGCCCTGGTGGGCTCCGACACTCACCTTCCCGCTTCCCTTCCCTGGCACGAACAGTGAGCGCGGGGCCCGGGCAGGGAGCTGAGACCGGCTCGGACTCAGGACTCTCGCCCTGATCCTGGAGCCACTTCTCTCACTGGGACCCGGGAGCCCCACCTCTGGGGCCTGGGACCTCTCCCTTGTACCCAGGAGCCCCTCCGACCGGGTCCCGGAATTCCTACGAGAATCGAGTAGGAACTCACCTGAAACACCCTGCGCAAAGAGCGCGACCCAGAAAGGGCACTCGCCTCGCCCCGCGCTCTGGCTCTGGGTCACCCTCTCCCGGGCGCACACCGGAGCCTCGCTCAGTCGTAGCCCGAGTCAAAAGCTCCCAGGGGCTGGGACTGAGCCTGCCCACTGGTCGAAGCGCGAATTTGGCTGGCGGCTAGCCGGGCCTGGCGCTCGATTGGCCTTGTCTGAGTAGGGAAAAGGACCAGCGCGGGCTCCGCGCTCCCGGCATCCCTCGGGCGGCGGCGGCGG